GTTTCCCGTGGTGCCATCCACCAGCCCAGTTGATGGCCACCTATAATTCACGCGTGTAAACGGAGCAGAACTTTTAGTTTTTCTGGGTATTTACAGCGCAAATAGTGGTATTAAGACTGTAAGAGAGGGAAGCACGGTGGTACCTGGCATTTATGGTGAAGTAACGCGTCTACGGCGGCGAGTGTGGCCCGTACGGCTGAAAGCGCGTAGTCGTAGACACCCGGAAAGCCCTGGCAGTCATAGGCAAGTCCATACTCTTCCAGTGAGTCCATAACATCATCCGGGATGTCTGGGTCAGTGTCATCGGCGTAGTAACCATCGAGTAAGCGTAGCGACTCCAAGAAATCATGGCTAAGGGGTAAACAAGGAATAGTGGAAACAGTTAGTGTCGCTGGAGCTGGGGGCGGGTTTGAGAGTCCATAGCCCATCACCAGTTAGTGCCGGACGCCGGGGTTGACCAGCTAAAGCCCAGAGGAATATCTTTCAACTGGAAATTGAGTATAAAGTCATGGCATTTTCGTCTCTACACAGGAGATTACGCTTTCCTACACGAACATGACGCCTGCCTGAAACGGCAGGGTCTTAAAACTTGTAGAGGGTAAAGCGAACATTTAAGAGCTGTTTGGTTTACGCTCACGGAATATGATCCTTGCTTCTGTGGTGGTAGCGAGAAATACCCGAGTTACGCTTTTAAATTTCCTCATAAATTAATCCTTGAACTTGGCGTAGATCAGCACAGTCAAGATACACAGGCATCGACCACAAATTGATGTAAACACTGGTTGCCATTACCTTTGCTGCCAGTACAGTAAATAATAATTACATAAGACATACTCAAGCCATGGAAAAGGCGCCAAAAATTTAATTAAAAACGGCGAGTAATCAAGGGCAACACAGTAAATTTTTTGGAAAAGATTGAAGAAGAGCAAGACCTAGTTGTAAAACATCTTACAATTCAAACGCAAGTTATAATAAAATAAAAGACAACGGCAGGACTTTCTTATGAGGCAGCTTTTGCCTGTGATTAGTAATCAAAAACGACTTCCATATTTTCAGTAGGTCAAATTTCCGCCTATCCAACGCCACCCTTGATTATATTAATCAATTGTTGTTTTAATAGTTAGTAGTCTATTGACATCTTTTGCTGACCAATAAGAATTTATGCTGGTCGATTTTATTCTTTCCGCGTGATTTTCAAAAATATTTTTAGTTTAGTAGAACAATTATAAGCGGCTTTAATTCATTTCCTATTGTGCACTTATCACGCATTAACTACGCCTTAATGCATTATTAAATATTTAACCACGTTTTCCGTAAGAAACTCAGGCGGGGAAACTATTTTCATTAGGCGGTCTCACACGAAAGCCTTACCAAAACAACAAGACGTCCAAATGACTGGACTGCACCTCAAGAAGAAAATCCCAAAAGCTTTACTTAATTGTCAGCAAAGTTAGAGATTCACGTAAATATAAGCAGTTGTGTCAGAGCCACCTTCCGGTGTGTTCAAACAACGCTGCAGCGACGAAAGTGGGAAGAAGGAGGAGATGAAGAACTTGCATGCCTTTTTCAAAGCAAACGGTCATCCGAAGTCCTTTGTCCACAAAGGCCTCAAGAAGCCTCGTTTTCCGCAGTCGGGTGCAAAAAGCCCAAAATTCTGGATCGTAATCCCTTACGCGAAAAACATTTCAGAGGCGACAGCACGAATCCCAAAACCTTTTGGGATCAGCGTGGCGCATAGACCCGAATCAACAAGCAGGCAGCAAGTCATGTAGCCCAAATACCACCTGCCAGTGACTGAACTATTAGCAGTGGTGTACAGCATGCCATGCAAAAATTGCAATGCGAAGTATGCTGGTGAAACGGGCAAACGTCTGGGCGCAAGACTGCACGAACATCTACTTGCAATCAATCGCAAAAACAAGCTGTCGTTGGGCTATAGTCACGTGCAACAGCTGAACCACGACTTCGCCTTGGAGAAGGCGAGGGTGATCGCAGGGCCAATGAGAAAATAGCCAGACTAGTGCTGGAAAGTTGGCCCTTAACTGGCACAATCAATTGAACTATAGATTTGAACCCAGCCTACAGGGCGCTTCGTATAAGGCCCGGAACAATTCGAACAGAGCCAGCAGGGCAAATGAGTAGGCAGAACCGAGGCCCTACGTCCACAAAAAATAGGGCTGGCAGTCAGAGGTCACATAAACAACATCAAACACTGCCTTATCGATGCGCCCGCGAAGCGGAGGGCGACCCAAGTGAACAGCAATGACTAATCAGTCCACCTGTTGACGTGGGGGAGGTCAACAAGCATACTGACTTGTCTACAACTACGCTAACCACAAAGGGGACAAATATCACGCAAGCCTGTCAGCGGCTAACTTGCGGGGGGACAAATGTTGTCAGCATTGAACGGGGAGTTCAGAGTCCACGCGTCCAGCACGGCTATAATACGAGGCAGACGGCAAGACTGGCTAACCTAAGACCCCCAGACGCAGCAATTACAATATTCTGATGGTGGAAGCGATAAAGGCTCCGAAACGCCAGTATAAGAAAAGACCTTCTCTTCTCCTTCTTCTTTGGGGGATGATGAACGTGATATAAACATAAAAGTTGACAAGTGCGAAACAGCAGCATATTTACAGAAGATTCCCCATCTCATGAAATATCAAACTGAAATTCTAAAATGTGTTTTTGACTCGAGAAAAATTGCCTAATTAGGGTTGTGATTTTGATTATAATGCAGCCTAATCTCAAGATACTTCAGTCACTTCAGGATATCGGCTTTCGGATGGATTATTTCTTTCTGGTAGCTTGCAAAAGGCATATTCTGTAAAAATGGTTACTTAATCAGTATACATTTTTTTCTAAGAATTTTGGTTGACAGTTCATGAAATGGGAAATCAACTGTATGTGTGAGACAGAGGCGCGCACTGTAATCATTTTGCATAGCCTAGGGGGCTGAGAAAGCAAGTCAGGTAAAAAAAGCTACCAATCATTGGAAGGGCAAGTCGGTCGATCGAGAGATCACAAGGGTTTAAAGAAGTAAACATCTACCCTCAGGTTTGTTCTGCGTATTTGGAATGGCTTGACTACCCGATTTGAGCAGACGAAAGTAACCTATTACAGGTCCTTGTTGCTGGGCTGGGCAGTGTTTGCTTCGAGGTGATTACGTCACAGCGAGCCCGAACCGAGGACGGATAGATCATAGTCCATCCATTGACAAGGGACGGCGGCTCGGGAAAACAGCAATAGAGTGATTAGATGTAGTTTCCAGACTTGACGATTGACGCCCTCTAGTGCACACTTATTCACCAATAGTTTAGGGCCCCAGGGTCGTATAGGATGAAGACAAGATTAGTTGGGCTGAGAGCTTTTCTACAAAAACACAGACATCCCAAACACGCTTGTAGGACCACTGCTGCATGATCCGCGATGGCTCAATTTTGACACCAAATTGACGGTTTGTTTCGAAGTAAACTTCAACTGAGGGTTGTTCCACTATATGTTGCCTGTGGACACCTCCGATACCCCGCAACTAGACTAGAGGACGAGTTCTGCCGTCTCAGGATTACTGCCGCCCTGTTAGGCATAGATTCACGCAGAGAGCAACAACACATATTAAATGTAAAGGGGAAGGGGAGTTGACATTCTTATACCTTACTTTTTCGGTTGAATATCATTTCCATCTGATCACTTACCACCGCGGGGAAGAATATAAATCCTCCGTTTATCCTAAGGGCTATCAATTTGTCACAATGAATCCGGAAACTAAATGAGGCTGTTCAGCTGGTTCACCAGCTCTCAAATAACAAGGTGATATACAGTTGACTCAGTTATGAAAAACTCGACGTTCTCCGTGGGATTCGAATCCACGACAGTAACTTGAGCCAATTTTGATTACACTCACAGCTCCCAGTAAGGACTTAGTAGCTCGAGGACACCGAGCTTTTCCCAACTGGGTCAACGACTTATTCAAATCTGCCAAAAACCACCTATAAATTAAGCTCCCCATGGTGGTCATCTAGTGAATTCTAGATTGAAAAGTCGATTGGGCAAGCATATGTTTTCAGCAGCTCTTCATCAGATTAGTACAGTTGTAGGGATAATTAAAATTCTACAGTTGGACAAGGTTAGTAAGTGTACTTTGATTACAATTCGCCGTTTTCACGCCGCCATCATGGTGAGATCGGTCGAACAACGAAGCGCCTGGAAAAGAGGGTACCTGAGCACAGACCGGCCTGGTTAACCCATTACCTCTCGGTGATCTCATATGAGCTCACTTAAAAATTAAGAGCTTTCGTAATTATCTGTCTGTATATACGCATATTTAACCTTCATGCATATAGTATTAGGTATATTTCTCTTGATATCCACATGAGATTTTTAAAAAATTCGCTCTAAATTAATTTATATACAAGTTTGAAAAACCATAGGTATCCAAGTTTCATAACAAAAATCATAGTGGTTAAAATTATGGGAGGTAATGGGTAAAACTAGGTCGATTTCGAGTTCTATTCTCGCACACCTTGTCGAAATGAATCATCGACTCGATACTAATGAAGGCTTTCAGGTTGTCTACCGGACACCGGCTAACTTCTTCAAGGGCCTACGCCAACGGGTGCTTGCAACAGCCGAAGCAGTGGCTATATGGCTAGCGAATCCAGTGCTGTGTTGTCAGAAGACGCTAACACAAACACTTTCACTTCCGTGGAGGACCCGAAGTCGGGCGGCTATCGCACATCGACCCTATCCCCTAGTGACAGTCGTTCGCTCCGTGCAAATTACAGTAATTACCACCCATTTACTTTGCCCCTGAATGATCCCACAACATAACCTAATTTCCTCCCCTCCCTGAGCACAGGGACCTCTACACGCTGACCTTGCCATGCCGACGGCGGGTAAACGATGAGTTGTAATCGAACAGAAATTAATTTCTCAGGAAAGCTGA